CTGTATTTCGGAAGCCACGCATTTTTCGACCCATGTTTATGTAGACTTTATGCATTAATTTTAAAAGTTCTATCGAATCTTAAAGTTATGCAACAATAATCTGAAACACCCTGTATATTTGTAGAAATTGTTTTCCTGAAAGATTCGTCGATGTGTGATCCTGTGTCCAATAAAGTAATAGAAATTGGGAATTGTTTCAAAAACGGGTCGGCGAAAAGTCCGTTTGTGAGGACACCACGAAAAAAGTTTTTATTTTATATTATAAATACGAAATTTGGAGGTATTTTGATACTACAGTAGCGGCACCTCCGTTGTATTTCTCTGGAACTGTATCAAAATCACTACCGTTGTTGCACACATACCAATGATCAAACCGACTAAAATGAGTTGCTCGTTCGTAACTCAACACTTTTCAAAAATAGACCACAGATCGTCCCACAATGCGACGATAACTCTCTATAGATGATCAAATTAATTTGATACATTGTTATTACAATGTTATTCGTAGAAACACAAGTTTCTATGAGAAATCGAACAAATTATAACCCAAATCAACCTCCCACGTCGAGGATTGATGGCTCTATTAAAACATTTTACAATTTGTTTGTTTGCACGTTAACATACGGTATGTTATATGTTAATTTTTATCCTACGCATCGAATAGTAGCCAATAAATGAAAATTTATTTCATATTTTTTCTAATATAAATTCTAATACGATAAATTTATTTATTTTATTAATTGAATTTCTTTCTCCTAAATTCCTGTACCCTTTATTAGTTCTTCAAGCAAACCTTGCAAATAATCACAGACAGACATATACAGGGTGTTTCAAATTCAACCTGCACCACTGGGATTTTGGGAAGAGATACGAATTCGCTTAAATGAGGGTAAAGTTGCGTATTTAGGTGATCATCAAAATGCCGCTTATAAAGTTTCGAAATTGAAAGTACTTCAGGAGAAATGGAAAAAACGATTTTTCCCAACATCGTTTTAATTTTTTGCTTACTTTATTGGTAGTGGGATTTCAAAATGACTGCACATTAACATTGCCACTTTTTCTCCTCTACAAGGTGGCATAACACTGGACAACAAATTTTAGTTTTTTAATTGTATCTTGTGGGAAAAGTGCACTTCTTTGTTAATTTTGGGGCGCTGAATCCAAAAATGACAATGAAATAAAAAAATTAGTTGCGGTTTAGAAAAAAACTTTTTATTTTTAAGGATATATTAAAAAAAGTAACAAGATTCATGTACTTATAAGAATCACTATATGCGCTGTCTTTTTGCTGTTCTTTTATGGATCGTTTCTGGAGCATCTCTACCAAGAGTCCAACAGTAATCTGCATGCATGGAAGGATTCCACTTTCCCTGGTACCTTTTTCCATTGTTGAAATATCCGGATGAAAACGTTCGCCGTGCTCATCACTTACAGCTCCGCAATTGTCAGGAAAAAACTCCAGGTGTGAGCGTAGGAAATGTATCTTAAGAGACATATTACAGCCCATCTTTTGATACGATGACAGCATATTTTTGACAAGGGTTTTATAGTTGTCAGCTTTTCTATTTCCTAAGAAATTACTGACCACCAGACGGAAATCATTCCAAGCAGTTTTTTCAATACCTGTTAAAGCGTTTTCAAACTGTGTATCTTTCAAAATATTTCGAATCTGTGGCCCAACAAAAATACCTTCTTTAACCTTTGCCTCACTTAGTCTTGGAAATTTCTGACGCAGGTATTGAAAAGCTGACCCATCTCTATCTAATGCCTTGACAAAGTTTTTCATTAGGCCCAACTTGATATGCAGTGGTGGTAATAAAATTTTTTTCGAATCTAATAATGGCATATGCTGTACATTTTTTTGACCTGGCTCTAGGAATTGACGAACAAGCCAGTTTTGTCTGGTGTAATGAAGTGCCTTTGCCCGACTGTCCCATTCACACAAAAAACAGCAAAGCTTTGTGTAGCCTAGCTGCAGCCCAAGTAAAAGTGCAACAACTTTCAAATCGCCACAAATATGCCATTGGTGCTCATCGTATTTTATGCATGTCAATAGGTACTTCATATTGTCATAAGATTCTTTCATGTGAACTGCATACCCTACAGGAAGAGATGGTAAAATATTTCCAATCTGCAATAACACTGCCTTTAAACTCAATGTTGAACTGTCTATAAACAATCTCCATTCTTCTGGGTTATAGTTTATATTTAAAGCCGCCAGTAAGCCGTTAATGTTACTGCAGAAAACCAAGTTATTCTCCATATTGAAAAATGGTTCTAAGTCTTTGTGGCGTTTACGAAAAACACATACCGAAACATCGTCTTCTAACATGTTCCACTGCTGCAGTCTTGATCCAAGTAACTCTGCGTTACATTTTGGAAGTTCTAAATCTCTTACAAGATCATTTAATTCTGACTGTGTTATTTTGTGCGGTTGGTGGCATGACGTGCTCGGTATAAAATCAGGATCTCTTGACGTTGATGGCATATCTTCTTCCTGACGAATCACTCGATCGCCATGATCTGATTCGTTTTCTGATTCGCAAGTGTAGGATTCTGGGGGTTTTGGAATAGGATTTTCATCACTGTGAGGCACAGGTCCAATCGCAGATGGTATGTTTGGGTAGTTAATAACCGATTTTTTTTTCTTGGACATACCTGTGGCTTGTCCAACACAAGGTACCATGCAATAGTAACAATCATTAATATGATTTGTAGGCTCTCTCCAAACCATTGGGACAGTAAAGCGCATAGACCGTTTTTTTTCCATTTAACCAGCTCCTCAGACTTGAAGCACATGTATTACAGCAGATGAGGGGTGCCCACTGTTTGTCTTGATCACCTAGTTTACAACCGAAATAAAGCTGATATGCCTTTGTTATTAGTGGAGTAATAGACCGTCTCTGAGACGCAAAAGTCACATCACCACACACGTATCAAAACTGATCTGTATTGTTTACACACTTTCGAGACATCTTGCATGAACGCTGTCAGCCAACTGAGGAAAAAATGGCTAATATAAAACAATATAATGTTCACGTATGTATAACGTAACACAATCATGCCGATTACATCATCTTTCCTTGCCGAATATAAAAATGTAGCACGTGCATTCTTGTGAATTACAGTATATCACAGCAGGAACACATATAATTACCGTATCTCTAAAACTTGAACTGATATTGAAAAAATAAGTTTGATTCCGGTTTTAGCACGTTAAAAATAGTAATATTTTGTTGATTTTATTGGGATATTTTTTGGCTGTTGATCAGTGATAATTAGAATTTCAATATGACGTTTCGGCTATTGTCTTTTATTTTTTCTCATGGTCACCATATTGGATTTTTGCTGAGATAAATAGAGTTTTTAATTCTGATTTCAGAAATATATGATACGTCATTTCCAAACCTTAGTTGTTTAAAAAAAATCAGATTCTTTTAGGTAGGCCTTGAAATTATCAGATTTGTTAAACGAAAACCACTTTTCCTGACTTTATTCAAGATGGGATCTTAAAATAAATTGCATATTGTAATTATTATATGAGATGACGTGGTCCAACTCTCAATTCGACATTTTTTCTTTCACCAAATTTTAGATGGAAATTATAAGGAAATAAAAAGGTATGGTGAAACCTTAACACAACATTACTCGTAAAACTTTATTGGTAAGCTGAGGTAAATCATAGCAGATTTTCAAATTGTCCGTCATTTTGTAGGCAAAGCCTGACCCTTCTCTGTACATTGTTCGCTGCTCGATTTATTTATCTTCATCTCAGTTTTCCAAATAGAAGCTTTATTGCTATGCTCAATTTGAGGTCTGGTCTGGTAAGCGAAACCAACGAAATATGATAATTCCAAGGCCATAGGAAATTCTGTTTTTCTGGAATACCTCAGGGCCGGCATTGTCAATGACATATGAAATTTTTGAAATCAGAATTAAAACCTATCTTGATCTGCTCAAAAATCCAATGTGGCGTCCATAAGAAAAAATGAAGTTGATGCTGGTGGACAAGAAACGGAACGTCATATTAAAACTCTTATTACGCCATCTTGTGGAGGAGAAAAAGTGCCAATGTTGATGTGCAATTTATCTTGGAATTACACTACAATTGAAGCCAGTAAAAAAAATTACAACGTTTTTGTAAAAATCCCGACTCTTTTCGGAAGTGCTTTGAATTTTCTAAGAAGCATTTTGTTGATTACCTAAATACTCATCTTTGCCCCTATTCAAGCGACAGTCACCATGTATGTTGGAATATTGTATTATATTCAAATAAGTTAAAAAAGAAGACATTGCATGCGTTTGTTATAATGGATATTTTCTAAACATTGCTAATTTTAAGACTATTTTCCATCTAAGGATTTTAAAAATACCGCTTAGTTTCAAAGTTACAGGTAGAACAAGTTTTTCTGAAAATAACATTTTTATTAGGAAAAGTGGAATTTATTATTTGAAAAAAGTTTTCAAAATCACCTTTAGTTATAATGCAAGACTCCAATCTTCCCTTCATAAACCGAAATCTCTTAAACATACCGACATCGTTTCTTGTCGAGTTATCTCCGGATTTTTCGTTAATTTTTTCGTCAAGTTGTAGTTACATTAGTTACAATTTTCAATTTTTTTTCAAGATCGGCAGTGATAATGATTGAAATGACCTACAACTTCACGAAAAAATTAACGAAATTGATGCAAAGGTTAAAAAGTTATTTCAAATTAATTTGAACAAAATTTCGTTGTTGGTTAATTATGCGTGGCAGTGTAGTATAAACTGACAACTTCAGAAAAACCACTCAGAGAATAACCTAAGAGGCTCACGCGGATCAAAGAAACAATACTTAGATCATTCTTGCCTTAGGTATTCTAATATTTTCGTAAAAACTCACGAGCAAATATACCGAAGTAGCTGGATGTAAGTTAGGTCTTCTATTTCTCACCTTTTTTAGTTTGCATTTCATGTACATGTATAGATAAAAATCATAAGTAACGTTTTTTGTATCTAGCTACGAAAATTGGAACCAGATGAGCTGGACTCCATCGACCAGCACGCCCTGGAGGACGAACCTGATGGAACCTCGCTGGCGAAGAGGTCCAATGCAATCCAGGTCGTCGCCAATCCCGATGGGGTCGTCAGGGAGGTCAAAGAGCGGAGAGTTGTGTCTAGAGAGGAGATCGAGGAAGTCAAGGAGACGGAAGATGTTCAGCATCTTGGAGACATCACCGATGAGGTAGGATAACATTCAATCACTTTTTAGAAAAAATAGAGTCCAACTTTGTTGCAACGTATTGAGGAAATAATGCGGTGTTTGCGCAAAACTAAATCAATAAATTTGTAAATGATTCAAATCAAATGTGTATTAAGATAAATTAATAATCCCCGCGACAATCGCTGAGCGCGGGACAGCTTGTATGCAACCGGTTATACACAAAGGTGTAACTTGCTCGTACATCTGGTTGTCGGTATTTGCAAATGCTTCAGACTTAGTACGGGAGATAGTGCATCAATTTCTGTACCTGTTTCTAAGCTAGTTTTGCGACGAATGCGATATTGGATAGTCAGGATTGTATTGAAGCTACTCGAGGCGTAAGGAAAAAGAATATCGAATTTGTGAAGTTCCCAATTGAATTTCGGCACTGTAAAAAAGCTTCCGCTTAGTAAAGTATCTACACAGCTACAGGTAGAGCATGTGTTTCTTATGTCTAAAACGTCTAAGTAGTGACTTCAAATATACACTGAGATCCAGATTTGTCTGATGGCTGAGTTCAATGTGTACGAGAGAGAAGTTCATCGCCATGTTGCCAATACATTACACCAGTTCCTTGAATCAAGATTCATATTGATAATATGCGTTAGTTTTTTCATTACGCCCAAATAATGGTTTTATTTTTGCGCAAACATTTTTGAATTTTGTCGCAAAATATAACAATCATTCAGGATGCATTGATTTTACCACCATCGGTGAAAATCAAAGATAATTTTAAAATAAATAAGAACACTAAGTCGCATTACAATTAAAATAAATAATTCTAATCAAAATAAAAACAAAATAGCGCGCAATTTGAATCAGTCACTTATGTATTGGCCATCTTCCATCTTATATTAAGAAGTCGACCTACGTCCAGGAATAGTTCATTGCAACAGTATTTGCTAACAATAGGTTTAGAAGCAGAATCAGAAGTTATCTGTTTGAATGTGGACGGAGTATTTTGGTTGAGTTCCAAACCGAGACTCTTTATCTGCGATTTACTATTCCAAATAAAGGTTATTCGTCGCTAAGACTCACCCGTCCACGTTTGAATTCTCCATACCAACGGCAAATTGTCGACTGATGTGGCGCTTCGTTGCCGAAAACAGACAGTAACTCAGCAAGGCATTCTTGTTGCGATAACTGTCTCTGAAAGTTGTAAGAAATTACGGCGCGAAAATGTTCTCGGTTGAGTTCCATTTTTCTAATGACTTGGTGACACTTAAAAATTCACTGTAGTGAGAACACTGCACGTATTGTTGTGAAACTTTGAATTTAAGTTTACTAAAGAGTGAGGTTAAGATTCAGTACTGACGTTCGATCCGCGCGGCCTACTATGTTTCTATATGCAAAACTTAAACGAGATCCCTCGTATACAGGGTGTTAATAAAGTATGTAGACAAACTTTACCGATCGAAACCTTGGTCAAGTTGAAGACTAAATGTTCATATGAACATGGGTCGATAACGGCCTTCTTCTCGAGCTAGAGAATTATCACTAAAGAAATACGAGTAATGTTCCAAATATTTCTATGAATAATGAAACATATTTTTTGAACCAATGGTATAACCGATGATAAATTTTGCATGTTTTACAAGTTGCTGAGACTCGATATGAGCGTGGATGAAAATAGTATTATCCTGTATTTATGGAAAAAAAAATTACTTAGAAGGTCAACAGTTTTGAACAGTAATATTCGAATAGAACGACAACAATAGAAAATATCGAATAGTTTTTTATACAATAAATGTTGTGGCTACGAATTATTTGAGACAATAAAGTAATTCAATTGTTTTCGGGTACGTCATAGGTGTCTAGATAAGCGCACTGCTTAAATATTAAAATCAAAACAAATCAATGTCATGCTATTTTTTCAAAAAATACTAGATAACATTATCTATATTTACGTACATGGAGAGTCTGAAAACAACTGTAAATCATGTGATATTCACCACAGGGCATACCTAATTAAAATAAAATATGTACCATTCTTTTATATTTTTTTAGCACAATATCATCATTTCTTTTAGTGCTAATAAGCTCTATACTATAACTATCTAAAACTGTAATGACTCATCGATGTTCACGTGAACATCACTTTAACTACCAGTAGTCGGCTGTTCATAGGCGGGGTATGAATGTTTAACATGGGTGAATTAGATTTGTCACATGCTTAATAAAGAGTGGTTTGAAACATATTGTAAGTAAAAAATTTGGGAATTACCTTTATTCATCGTCGCTTCCACTAACATCTGACAGTAATAAACTGTCGCTATCGCTTTCCTCGTTGAAATTGACTATAACTGGCTCTATGATGGTGTCGATGTGGTGGTCAAGCTGCCACATTTTTGTTTCTTCCTTCACAACATGACGGATAGCATTCTGCCAAGCTTCGGGAGTTACTAGCTGTATGGAAGTCTCAAGTAAAACCTTAACGTCTGGTAATTTGAAGGTTGTGTTATGGCGCGCAATATAACCCTTCACTTGAGCCCAGATGAGCTCTATTGGGTTCAGTTCACAGTGGTAGGGCGGTAACCGCAGCACAGTGACACCACATTGACGGGCCATCTCATCAGTCACGTAACTAATGTTCGCAGGTTTGTGCTGTTTAATTTTTTCATACAATTCCGCTTTCACACATGAATCGTCAAACGGGATTCCTTTTTCGCGCAACCATTGCTGCATGTCACTTTTTCGAGATCCCATAGTCGGTACACGTTCGGCTCGACGACTATGGTAGGAAGCATTATCCATGACGATCACAGAGTTGGGCTCAACTCGCTGAAGCACCCCTTGAAACCAGCTCTCGAAGCAGCTGGCATTCATTTCGTCATGGTAATCACCTCCTTTCTTAGAGACGAAAATCAAGTCACACTCTTCTAAAAAGCCACTACCGCTACCAATATGAGTTACGATCAATCTTTGACCTTTCCCTGACGGTCCACGAAGACCTGTTGACAAACCTTTAATGCTTGCTTGTCGGTTACTCACTACGTTTTTGTCTATCCAGGTTTTTTAACTGTGTGCCCTGCATTTACCCATGTCTCGTCCAAATAATAGATTTTTCTGCTTTGTCGCCTATATTCAATCATTTCGCGTAGGTATTTTCGAAGCCAGGCGACTATTTCAGGTCTCTCTATCAATACTGACTTCCGATTACGCGTTTCGTAACGAAAATTAATTTCGTGCAGGGATTTCCTCATTACCTCGACGCTCATTTGGGGTATAATTTCATTTTCCTTGTTCGCTGCATGTACAGCCTTGAGGGTTGGTATCTCATTCCTAAAGAAGAATGAATGTACGGTTCGCCTTAACGCGATTTTGCTATCGCCATCCAATTTAACGGCCTTTCGTCCCTTCAAATTAAACTTTGGATCAGTAGTAGCTCCAGTTTTCTTCTTTTCATGCACCACCCTGCGAATGGTCCACTCTGGAACGCCTGTCATACTTTCACAACGCGCGAGTCCATCTCCCTGCGACATAGTTCTGTTCAGATAATTGAACACGTTGAGCACGATTTCTTTCGCGTCCCTCTTCAGTGCTTTACGAAGCCGTCTACTTGTTCCCTAGCTTTCAGTACTTCCACTCGTGCCATTTGTACTCTCCATGGTTAAGTATATGTATAACCAAAACAGTAACCACAGAAACCACAACAATAACAATCACACAACAATTCTTATAAAAACACACAATATGCGATCGCTCAACGAAACACGTTCCAATGCGTTGCCGACGCCTATGAGTCTGCCGGTCGAGGCGCGTCTTTGATTTCATTGGTTCTACCGGCGGAGAACAACCAGCCATTATTTCCATCTCTGTCTGTGCTGTTGACCACCGCAAAGCCACAGAAACGACATATGTCGTACGCTATACGGCTGTACTGGAAGGAAGCCGGGATCGAGCTCTGATCACGTGTTGATCACGCGTATGAGTCATTACAGTTTTAAATAGTTGTAGTATAGCTTGAAAACAAAGTCGTTGCGGACCCATGTTCATATGGAAATTTCGTTAATGGTTAAAGTTTGTCTACATACTTTATTAACACCCTGTATAACTGCTGAGATTTTCCTTGATTGCCAAAAAATTGGGAGACGTTTTTTCTTGTAATCAAAAAAGTATTCCGAGTGAAGGTACATATGTTGCTCTCCACGATCTTCATTGTTTCAAAGTCTAAATATTTGTTCTCTAGGTTTACTCGTACTGGATCATTAGAGTATCCTCGGGTCACTGACCTGCACATTTCGTATCAAGCTTTATATTATGTATACACCCAGGTGCACTAACAAGGAAGGTTTATCAATCTCCTTCCACGTATTATCTAAGTAATAGCAATGGAGCGCAAAAAGTGTATACGGAAGTAATTTCAGGTACGAGGGATATTCAGTAATTACCTACATAAAAAAATATTACTGATAAAACTTGCGTTTGACAGTGGACGCGGGGGACAACAGACAACGATAAAATTGATTCTCGAGACGACTGAACAAAAAATGACAAATGAAAAGCGATCCTATATGCTTTCAAACAAAATTTCAAGAGCGATGTTTGTTCGAGATTGAGTTTCATACAGTTTGGGTTGTGATGCAGCTTGCCTCTGAGGGACCCAATATGATTTGTTTTGAGGCTCCAACCAATTGTGGCGAATAATAATAATAATAATAATAATAATAATAATAATAATAATAATAATAGCTTTATTGTTCAACAGTTTCCCATTTATAGGACAATTACATAATACAAAAGCAAAAAAAAGCGAAAAGAAAACAACAAATGCAACACAGGTATAAATTTGTAACATGAGCTATTGGTACGAATAAGCCTTAGCTGCCTTTATCAGGTAATTAACATTTGTCGTAAATATATCCCAGTAACATCCAATTCTGTTTAAGTTAGAGCACATTACATATAACGGTGACTTGAGAAGAATGTTTGTCCTAGCTCTAGGAAGCCCGAATATTTTATGATTGCGAGATGCAAACGTTGGAGTACGA